CAGACAGACAGACAGACAGACAGACAGACAGACAGACATATATATTTTGATAAAACATTGAACATGTTATGATGACATTGGAGTTTTTTGTCTGGAGGCCTACAGGAGTTTTCCTGCACTTCAGATGATACAAAGGTCTGTTTCAACAGAATTATATAAAAGTAACATTTCCTTGACTGTATCATCAGCTGACTTCAAAAACTGCTCATGCCATAAAAGCTTCATCCATAAGATTGTCTGTCTGGGAAAAACATGATGCGCGTTTGCGTTTAAGCCCCGCCCCCAGCAGATACTTCAGTCTGATGACGTTTGGGACTTCAAATTCATCCCACACACCTGAGAGCATCATTCACCTGCGGACAGGTAAGACTGCTTTCATCTGTTCTTTCACACACAGAACATAACTGAGATATTATATGACTTACATCAAGCAAACAATGGTGAGGTTTTCAGGGTTAAAACTACTGAACTGTTTAGGTTCTATAATTATAGATTTGTAAGACGAGGAATACATTCATGTTTATACAACCAAACTAACAGAAAGCAAGATAGATGAACAGTTTTGTTAATGTCAGATCTCAGAAGCACTGACTGATTCTCTTTTACACACACACACGCACACACACACACACACACACACACACACAATGAGTCAGAAACCTGTTTATAGAGAATACCAACAAAACAATTTTAATAAATGACCTCCTCTAGTGAGCTTCACCACATTTAGAGGAACCAAACCGTCCTGATGACTTCAGAATCGCCTTCATTAGTCAAATATATCTCAGAAGCAGATAAAGTTGTATTTACTCATTCCAGTGCCTGTTAGCAGGAAGTAGAGCAGCTGTCCATTCATCTTTAGTTAGCGATCATCAGCAGCTCTTTAGACACACGTTTATATTATCCCTGTATTGTGGTGCTTAGCCTCAGTTTTTATGGTTTTTAATGGTGTACTTCTTTACAGTTCTGACGTAATTTCAGAGAAGCAGACAATAAAACAGCTACACTTTTAATGATCAGAATCCATATTTAAAACAAAGCTATTTTCTAAAATGATGCTTTCCTACCTAACAAAAATATGTTCTTAGTACATTTTGCAAATGTTCCCAGTGAATTTTGAGAACAGTATTTGTGAATGTCTTCTGAATGTTCAGAATGTCTAGGTTTTTTTTTACTTTTTCATTTTTCTTTTCTTGGTAATATACAAACATTAAGGCAACATTCCATTTATAATTTTTCCAAACGTTATGGGAATGTTATTTTTGAATGTTCTCTGAACTTTTTGAAACAAGTAGTAGCCTAACATTAGAAAAATAAAAAAATTTAAAATTCTCAAGCGTCCAACTGAAACATTTTAGGTAAAAAAAAAAAAAAAATCAAACACTTAAAAACAAGTTTTTAAGTTTTTAGAAAATTATCATAGAACAGATATATTTGAATGTTCTATTAATGTTACTGGAAGAGGTTTAAGAGAAGTTTGTCAGAAAGTTAGTCAAAGTTAGTTGGGTTTACTGTTACTTTTGATTCATTTAATGCTTCCTTGGTGAAAAAAAATTATTAAAAGCAAACAAACAAACAACAACAACAACACAAATACTGACCCCATACTTGAATGGTAAAATAATATAAAAGATAATAACATTATCTATCACAGTAACTGCTGTGTGTAGATTCTATAGTTATATAATAATAATAATAATAATAATAATAATACAAGACAGACCCATGTCGTTGACCCATGTATGTATGTATGTATGTATTAGATAAATAAATAAATACATTTCATTTTTTTTTTAGGAATAAGGAAAATCTGCCAAAATGTGCTGCAAGGGTTTCCTCAAAGTCATGATGTTCGTCTTCAATGGCGTTATCTTTGTGAGTATGATCATTGTTGAGTTCTGGGGCCTGTACCATGATGGTAGTTGAACAAATTCAGAGTTACAGGATTAGTGTTGAGTTGACAAAACCAAACCACTTCAATCCGGCTTTGTTGGCACCGTGATGCTGATCATCAACTTTCTTTGTCACCTCAGGCTTTGATCCTGAGTTTGTGGAGCGTGTGTGACATCACTGGCGAACAGCCAGTCACGAGCCTCGGTTAAAGATTAAAGGTTTTGCTAAAGATTAAGAGATTGAAGAATATGATGTATTTAAATGCATTTACAATTTGAGAAAGTACTTGTTCATGAAAGAGGACAGATAAAAGAAACGATCTTGCTCTATCAGTGCAGTCACAAGTGAAACTTGTTAAGTTAGTTTATATAGTTGAAAATATACAGCAATAGATTCTCGAACATGTAAGGTCATGTAGTCATTTTTAAAAAGCGTTATCTATTGATTCTACAGCTTATTTATATTGCATACGATCTGTATATATTAACATTCATTTAAAATAAATGATTTATAATAACTGTTAAACTAAAATTGCTTGTGTGTAATGGATTAATAATAATAATATAAACCATATAATAAGTATATATATATATATATATATATATAAGTAATTATCATTAAACCCAGACAATTATTATTTATTTACTTTAGTACTAGAGACCTTTAATTTGGAGCAAGATAAACTGGGGAAGTTACTTTTTTTGCAAAGGTAAAGGCCCCTTTTAAACTGAGCTACCATAACCCTTATCAGGCAAGCAATAAAATAAAAGCTCCTTCACCCACTTCAGTCATGTTTCCACATGCAAAATTGTATTTTATTGCATCATTAAACTGTAAAATGACACAGTATTTTCCTTTGTCCTCCTCTTCCTCATTGCAGCTGGCAGGCGCTGCCATATTGGGGGTAGGCATCTGGGTGGCGGTGGACAGAGTCTCTCTTCTGGGCATTTTAGAGAACATTGAAGATGCGCCACCCGAACTGGCCCAGCTGGCAAACATTGGCTATGTGCTGATCGGTGTGGGAGTGTTTCTGACGCTCGTGGGCTTCCTGGGATGCTGCGGAGCCGTAAAGGAAAGCAAATGCATGCTGCTCTCGGTGAGTGAACCTATTTCTGTCAAATGTGTTCAGCTAAAGCTGCTGTGAACGTTTCACTCCCAAAGTTTAGTCACAGATGCAGACAAAAAGGTCAATTTCTCAACTTTTCTTCTAGTTCTTCAGCATCGTGCTCATCATCTTCCTCGTGGAGGTGGCAGCGGCGATAGTGCTCTTCGTCTTTGAGCCTTTGGTGAGAGCTGATGCACCGCACCAGAACAAAAGCACATATACTCTGAAAAAATTGGTGCAGAATTTACAATTTGCACTCAAAAATTGCTAGCAAATTTCACAAATATTTATAAAGAAACAGCAAATAACTCATTGAATTAAACATGGAATTTTGAGGTAGAAGTCTGAAATAGCATTTTTGTAGTAAAACATTGTCTTTATTTTGTTTAAAACAATTTTATTTATTTTTTACAAAACTGCTAACAGGTTTCACACACCGATTGATCAATGGATTTCCAACTGGATGGCCTTTCAATATTATCATTATTGGATAAGGATTTTTGAGGATCGTTTTATGGAGATTACTGTCACAAAGATTTAAAGAATCTCACGAAGAAACAATTCTAGCATATTTAGACAAACTAATAGAAATGTCATTATAGAAATTCCCATATTTCAAATCATTTCATAACCGTGGGAGCTCACATGCAGAAATAACACAAATGTAAAATACTTTCTTAGCAACTCAAAAAGCCTATGTAGTGAACTAAAAAAAAAAAAAAATCAATAATGATGTTATATAAAAGGGATTTAAAATAAAATAACAGCTAGAGCTTTAAATGAATTCAAATTAATGCATTTTCCATGACCGAGTTCATATTCACAATACAAGGAACATCACATTAAGAACCACAATGATTTATTATGTCTGTATAAAAATACATAAATCATATAATAAGGCGCATGTGGATGTTATGTTTATGATTCCATAATCCTATGTGGTTGAATCCTATTTGGTTCTGTAAAATCAGTGGCTGAACGTGAATTTTATCCTCATTCCAGGTTCAGAAAGCTCTGGATGGAATTGGACAGAAAGTTGCTGAAAGCATTAAGAATAAATATGGCGAGGATGAGAGTTACACTTCAATCTGGGATAGCACTATGTCTGAGGTATACGGCATCAGACATCATGTCTAGCTGTTTTCTAATAATAGAATCCCTCATAATTCCAACTCTTGTTTGTAAACCACAGCCTGTGTATGTGTGTGTGTGTTTATTTTTAGCTGAAATGCTGCGGATATAATAATTACACTGACTTCATGGGCTCTCCATTTGAATCTACAGCATCATTCTATCCTGTCACATGTTGCAGAAGCAGTTCAGGACCATGTAATGAAAATGAAGCAAAAAGAGCGGTATGTTACAGAACGCTTTGTGCTGAAACTTACTACCAAAGCTGAAATGCATGAGATTAATGACATCAACGAATGTATGACAGTCCCATAGCCTCACGGCACACCACTAATTTGTCATTTAGCAAGACAGCAAGCTACTATTTGGATTATTTTGGCACATTGGTTTAGCCCATTGGGTTGCAAATAATAAATGCATGTGCATAACTGTCTAAGCACAAGCAGATATTGTATTGATGTGTGTATTTTATCAGTGTGTGATTTTGCTGTTGTTGTAGTCTGTCGTGGGCTGTTTCAATGCGTTACTGAATCTGATCGAGGATAATGCAGTTCTGCTGGCTGGTGTGGCTTTGGGAATCGCCGCTTTAGAGGTATTTACTTCATTTCTACTTTCCACTTGATGAATTCAACACATGCAAGATATTCTATGCTGATTAATGTCTTAATATGCACCAAATGACATTAAACAAACATCATGATGATCGACATCTCAGTATGCGATACAATAGAACTGATGCTCTGAATTATTTTAGGAAAGGTCCACCACATATTTCATAAAAGTTCAGCAGTTTTTGTTCCATATTGAGGTTTGCGTACACTTTGGGAATCGCCGCTTTAGAGGTATTTACTTCATTTCTACTTTCCACTTGATGAATTCAACACATGCAATATATTCTATGCTGATTAATGTCTTAATATGCACCAAATTACATTAAACAAACATCATGATGATCGACATCTCAGTATGCGATACAATAGAACTGATGCTCTGAATTATTTTAGGAAAGGTCCACCACATATTTCATAAAAGTTCAGCAGTTTTTGTTCCATATTGAGGTTTGCGTACATAAGCAAAATTGACCACAAAGACGGCCAATGTGGTTAAACCAATAGAAATACAAATAAAAATTAAGTTACGAAACAAAAAAGTTACTTTTGTGATATCAATAGAGATAGTGACTTAAAACTAGAAACATTAAAAATGGTTAAGTAACTCATTCATACTCTTATTACTGCAAATGGCCTATTTTATACAATATTGCACCTGATTTGTTTCTTTACAGATTGCAGCAATGGTTGTTTCCATGATCCTCTACACGAATGTAGGAAAATGAGACCAGGACTGACTACAGGCGGTTCTGTTTACATCACTGTTTACTGTGAAATGTAACTATTAAATACTTTAACTGGAGTTATGTACTGTATCTGCTGCAGAATGAATGACATTTGCACTAAAATCTGTTATATTTTTTGTTCTCTTTTAAATTACTTTTTTTTTTTTACCTCAAGTACAATATTTTTTTTTACTCTGTACTCAACATAGATATGAGCCTGCATTCAAAGGATTAATATCTAAAGCAATGTCGTGTTGAATACTATAGCTCATCAAAAATCACTACAACATTTTCTACATTTTCTTTGATACATTAAAAAATTGGTAACACTTTACTTAAAGCCTTTATCTATAATGCATTAAAGGGTAGCTATAATGCATTGAAATTATTCATAATGTGTGTTGTAATACATTATATCTTGCCATGAATAATTATAACCAAATTTAAAATGCATAGTATAACAATGAAATCATGAGATTGTACAATGCATTAGGCTATAAGGTGCAATACAATGCATAATTAATGCATTAAAACTACTTTTATAATGCATTATACATAAAGGCTTTAAGTAAAGTGTTACCAAAAAAAAATCTACATCCTGTAATAATTTGAAGTATTTGTATAAATAAAATAAACTGATATTTTTAAACTTCTGTAACAACTATCTTATGACACAGAAATTCAATTGATGTCGATGTAAATTCATAAAGTCCCATGAATGTATCACATAACAGCCACTAGGGGTCCTTCTCTACCTAGCTGAATGACTTAATATGAAGTCTTGTCATTTACTCACCTCTCCCTGTTGAAAAAAACAGCATATGCTGGTTAGGTATGTTTTGACGCTGGGATGCTGGTTTAAGCTGGTCCTTTGCTGGTTTATGCTGGACCAGCTTAAACCAGCAAAGGACCAGCTTAAACCAGCAAAGGACCAGCTTAAACCAGCAAAGGACCAGTTTAAACCAGCAAAGGACCAGCTTAAACCAGCATCCCAGCGTCAAAACATACCTAACCAGCATATGCTGTTTTTTTCAACAGGGCTGCCGTTCCAACACAGTAGTTTCTTTCCTCCGTGAAACACAGATTTCATGCAGAAGGTACATATAGGTTTTTCTGAAACAAAACAAACAAAAATGACTGTGACAGTAATCCACGACTGCAGAGTAACGTTCCAAATCTTTAGACACTATATGACATAACTGTGACATGAATAAATCAAAAATGTAAGTCGATATTCATATAATCTTCCCCTTGGAGGTGACGTTCAGGTTTCCAAAGGACCAGCTTAAACCAGCACCCCAGCGTCAAAACATACCTAACCAGCATATGCTGTTTTTTTCAACAGGGCTGCCGTTCCAACACAGTAGTTTCTTTCCTCCGTGAAACACAGATTTCATGCAGAAGGTACATATAGGTTTTTCTGAAACAAAACAAACAAAAATGACTGTGACAGTAATCCACGACTGCAGAGTAACGTTCCAAATCTTTAGACACTATATGACATAACTGTGACATGAATAAATAAAAAATGTAAGTCGATATTCATATAATCTTCCCCTTGGAGGTGACGTTCAGGTTTAAAATGGCGCCTTTGGACAGGCTCTTGGTTTGATGTCATGGTGCTAAACGATTAATGCGTGTCACGTGACCGTATCGCGCCCGAAAAGCGCTCTATAAAACGCGACCACGAATGATTTTGAGAGCAACAGTGCCATATTATCACAAGATTTGAAGCCAGTAATCTCTTAAAAAAGCTATCGAAGACTTCACATATTCCACTAATCGTATGGAGTGTTTTATGACACTTTTTGGAGCTTGCCATTTAAAATTGATCCGCATTAATTTTAATATGAAAGAAAATGATGCTGTGTTGGAACAAGGACACCAGCAGGTAGTGCAAAGACCACATAAAGTATAGCATCTTGGACAGATGCACAAATGCTGTTTTCATACACAGGTAACTAGTGTAAGGTACTGGTTATCCATTTTTTAGTACAGTCCATTGTGTGTTTTTCAAATCTCTAAATGTATGTGTATTAATGTATTATTCATTCTGAGGTATTAAATGACAAGGCCTTAAACTGTTGCAAAATAACAGCTTTATTTTCAGCATTTAAAACATCAACAATGAGGTTTAAAGCTGAAAGACCAAAGCACATCTAAATAAAGCAAACACAAATGTGACTATATACTTGAATTAATCAATTTAACTTTTTTCTTTATCAATTTTTCTCAGTCCTTGAATAAAATAAACCTCTCATCATTTAATCCACACATCATACTGAAGGCACACCTCTGCAAGCACTTAACTAATTCCTATATACACATATCGGTTACACTTTACTTGAAGGGGTGTGCATAAGACTGACATGACAATATTTGTGTCCACACCGATGGACTAGCTATAATGATAACTTACCATTACATTCTCATACACATCTTCAGTCGTATCAACATCAGATACTTTGTATATGTCATCATCAGGTCTGGAATGATTCATCTTTGACATTGAAGAAACAGACAAATAAGTAGAGATTAAATAAATAACCATTGCTAATAAACAACTCACAACTGCATTCAGACTTTCAGTGTTTTAGTTACTACACTGCTCAAAAATGAAGGGAACACTTAATCATCACAGTATAACACCAAGTCAATGAAACTTCAGAGAAGTCAATCTGTCCAGTTAGGCCACACACTAGACAATTTTCAAATCTTAACCGATTTTAAAGTCATGGCAGACTACAGGCATGAAGACCGTTTCAACCGATTTTTAGCCTTAGTAAGGCTAAGTAATCCTCTGAACGCGCACACTAGACAATTTGACCAGTGACACGAGATCTCACGGAGACTCGCAAGATCAAATGTGACTAGAGAAGAAAAACAAATTGAGAATAGTAGACGTTGTCAGCTGGCTCTCCTGGCGCGCGTTCTGTTTCACAGTGAAAAACAAAGTATAAAAATTAATATGGGTGATGTACTCTGCTTTCTTGGCATTTTTGCGGCTTCCAAGTTTCAGCTATAGAAGCACGCAACATGCTTGATATCTACGATTTGATTTCGGGGATGCTCCGTGTCGATTGAGCAGTTAAATAATCATAATGACACCACCCAATATAGGATTTTTTGGACAAAAAAAAAATAGTTTGCGACAAGCCTAGAATTGGGCCACCCCCCACCGATCATTCGGGGGTGCAGATCGGGCTTAAAATTGGCCTTAAAATCGTCTAGTGTGTGGGCAGCCTTAGAAAACAGAAGTGATTGTGACTCAGTTTCACCTGCTTTGGTGCAAATGAAAGTGACAGCAGGTGAACTGGGGAGCCAAAAGCGAGACAAAACCCCTTATCCGTCTTGACAGATTTGTCTCTGGTTTTGTGTTTTGAGGCAGTACCTGCAACCCAATCAACTCAAAGGTGCTTATAGGCACCTACTGTATCTATTGGCATTCTTCTTCTGCTATTGGGTCTGTGGCAGCCAGTGTTGGGCAGTTACGCATTACTTAGTAACGTGTTACTGTAATTTTGATAATTTTTTTTAGTAACAGATAATTTAACGTGCTACAATTTCCAAAATAGTAATTAGAGTATAGTTACAAGCCAAGGTCTCTATACGTTACCGCTGTGGTACATCATTGCTGACAGAATACAGTGTTTTATCATCTAGATTGTAAAAAGGGTGTAGTAAATGTGGCGTCCTCTACTTGAGACCTACTTTTACTGGTAAGCGCCTGCGAACTGGATACTACCATTGAAAACAAACTCAGCATGGAGAGAGAATAGTACGCATTCTGTAGCTGGAAATAAAATCATTATTTTGAGTTTATCTCTGTCAAAGGCAAGATAGAAATATCTAAACATAAAATATCTAAAAACAAATAAATTGCTATTCATCTATTGTACAAGAACAAACAATTAACAGGCACAAGCATAGGCAGAGTTTCTATTTATAACAGGTGTTTGCAGTGTAGCCGTGTTTATTTTTAGAACGCATTGGCCAAGCAGAGGTGTTAGAATCTACTCACCATTCAAAAAGCCTGAGCTCCTGTGCAGTGGTGAAATTTTGGGCACTTACAAGTCCTCTCATTATAGTGCACCAGAACGCCCACCACACACCAGCTTATTGGTGGAGAGCAGACAGAGAGATGAAGCCAATCGTTAGCTATGGGGATTACTTTTACTGGTAAGCGCCTGCGAACTGGATACTACCATTGAAAACAAACTCAGCATGGAGAGAGAATAGTACGCATTCTGTAGCTGGAAATAAAATCATTATTTTGAGTTTATCTCTGTCAAAGGCAAGATAGAAATATCTAAACATAAAATATCTAAAAACAAATAAATTGCTATTCATCTATTGTACAAGAACAAACAATTAACAGGCACAAGCATAGGCAGAGTTTCTATTTATAACAGGTGTTTGCAGTGTAGCCGTGTTTATTTTTAGAACGCATTGGCCAAGCAGAGGTGTTAGAATCTACTCACCATTCAAAAAGCCTGAGCTCCTGTGCAGTGGTGAAATTTTGGGCACTTACAAGTCCTCTCATTATAGTGCACCAGAACGCCCACCACACACCAGCTTATTGGTGGAGAGCAGACAGAGTGATGAAGCCAATCGTTAGATATGGGGATGGTTAGGAGGCTATGATGGTCAGAGGCCAATGGGCAAATTTGGCCAGGATGCCGAGGTAACACCTCTAGTCTTTTTGAAAGACATCCTGGGATTTTTAATAACCACAAAGAGTCAGGACCTCGGTTTAACATCTCATCCGAAGGATGGTGCTTGTTGACAGTGTAGTGTCTCCATCACTACACTGGGGCGTTAGGACCCACACAGACTGCAGGGTGATCACCCCCTGCTGGCACCACTAACACCTCTTCCAGCAGCAACCTAGTTTTCCCTGGAAGTCTCCCATCCAGGTACTGACCAGGCTCAGCCCTGCTTAGCTTCAGTGGGTAACCAGTCTTGGGCTACAGGGTGATATGGCTGCCGGCCCATTTTAG